CCCTCCCACCCCCCAGCAGCTGGTCCTGTTTGTTTTCCCAGATCAGTTTCACTTAGAGCTTCCTGAAGGATGGATGCACAGGTGGCTTTGTTTGCCAGCTCAGCACCCTCACCACTACCTCCTCCACATCCACAGCCTTGGCCTTTAGGTGTGGAGAGGGAGAGTGAGGTAGACAAAACAAGCAAACAAAAAAGTGTCCCCAGATCTGTACCTCCAAGAGACATCAAGATCTCAAAGGGATCTCACCACCTTCAGAGAACCCCACTCCCATCCCATCCAGTTCTTCATCTCATATAGGGACCTTTGGTTCCACAGAGAAATCCTCAGGATCACTCCCCATCTTATGATTCTACCCAAACATCCATCTCATAAGGTACCCTAAGATCCCACAGAGAAACCCTCAGACCCAGTTCTGTCTCCTGTAGATCCCACTTATACCCCCATCCCATATGGGGACATGTAGATGCAACAAGGAAACCCTCAAACCCAATCCTGGGCTCTCACCCAGGTCCCCATGCCAGTTAAAGTTCTGGGAATCCCCAGAGAAGTGATATCTCCCTCTTACAGAGCCCCATCTTATAAAAGGCCCAACTTCTCAGTACTATTGGGCAGCTGAGAGGTGCCCATGTCCTATCAAGTCAGCCTGCTTCCACCCCTCATTTCACTGGGAAATCAGCCAGGGCTTTGGTGACTGAAGATGCAAATTCTGTGAATGGTGCCCTCTTGCACCCTGGTACCATTGCCAGGCCCTTCTTTGCAGCTCTGCTCCGTCACTCCCTGCCCCCACCTCAGGTCTGGAGCCAGGAACAGGCAGATGAGCACTTTCCCTGGGGCTGTGAGGTCTGGTCTCCTGGGAGACAGAGATAACAAGTGAGAGACCAGCTCAGTTCAGGCAGGGTCCAACAGCTGGGCCCCAAAGAGGTGGGTCTGGCAGGGGTGGGGAGGGGCCAGGAGCCCCACCTACGCAGACCCATTGTCTTATCCCCTTATAAACAGAGCCCCTCAGTAGGGATAGGGAGCTGGCCACCATCCAGAGAGATGGGAACCAGCTTTCACCACCACCCACTCGCCCAGACACAAAGCCACTGGGTTGGCACAGAGCAACAGGGAGAGAGCACACGCATATACACATTCACACAGTACAGGCACATGGATGGGCCCCACGTGCA